ACAGACAGGTGTATTTCTGTAATGAAGTGTAAAGTGACTCAGACCCCCCCCCCCCTCCCCCATGTGTGTGAGGTGAGGTATGTTCAGCATGCTTTATATGCAGTGTGTAGTCAGCGTGTCTCTGGGGCTGACTGCAGGGGGGGGTTCCACTAGCAGGAGACTAAACGCTGTTGTCTTTCATGTGATGCTATATCCAGGGGTGCACATAACTGGTACGCAGGTACGCATGCGCGGCAACAATCTGAAATGCGTACCGTCACTTGTGTCACAAAGCGCATTTGCGTACCGACGTACTTGTGAAGCTTTTCCAGAAGGCGGTTAGATCACCGGACGACAGAGTCGGTCTCCGTGTGCACAGACATGCTGTTAACGTCAGTCTGTACAGCAGCCCTGCGCTAAAACAGCTGATCACAACGTTCACACGCTCTGTGGTCACGAAGCTCTGTACTCCACTACCACCCCGCCCCCCCCCCGTTGACAATCGCGAAGCGCTGTACTCCACTATGTTTGATGAACCTTTGACTTCCTCTAACATGCACATGTTGCCTGGAGTGCATTTGATTTGTGGTAAAGGTGCTGTATGAATAAAGTGTGATGGATTAGTGAGTTGTGTCTTACCTTGGTGAAGGTAGGAGGACCGGAGACGTCTGCAGCCGACAGAGACGAGACTGGACTCTGCATCTGGAGGACGATAAGGACAGGAGGACGATGAAGACAGGAGGACGATGAAGACAGGAGGACGATGAAGACAGGAGGACGATGAAGACAGGAGGACGATGAAGACAGGAGGACGATGAAGACAGGAGGACGATAAGGACAGAATCTCAACTTATAGACATCTAATGCACTTAATTAATTAGACGTCCGAGGATAAATCCAGACAGATATAAATAACATAGATCCTGGTGGGGGGGGGGGTATGTATGGGATGGAGGTTAAAAGTTAGTTTAACTTAAGAGACTCTGAAAGTTTCAGGAACAAAGATTCTCTCTCTTTTTAATCCATTTATATAAAAACCTGTCTGAAAATGAGCTGATCAGCTTTTGGCCACTTGATGATGTCATAACGATGTTTTGTCTTGTGTAACCATTAGCCAATCAGCAACCAAGGTATCCCCCCCCCCCCCCCTTATCACCTGAATCTCCTCCTAGAGCACCATTGAGTTCTTTGTAACCAAATCTCTCTCAGAGGGGCGTGGGGAGGGGCTCCTTATTTTCATCTAAGTAACAGACAGAGAATCAGCACTTTGGAAAAAGGGCTGAAACAGAGGGGATTATGGGTAATGCTGCAATGATCTGTTTGGTGTTTCAGCCAATCAGAGACAGGCTCTGGATATATCTGAGACCTGTGATATATTGATGAAGAAGAGGATGATAGGGGACCTTTAAATGTCATTAAAGTATTCTTCTACGTCAGGTCTGCTAAAGATTGCTTTCTTTAAAAGTATGTACGAGTCCTCTCTCCTCGTGTCCGTCAGGAGACGTTTGTTCTGAGTAAATAAAGTATGGATGTGTTTGATGTCATGTAAACGTCGTGCAGCTTCTCACCCGGGGGGGGGGCTGCGAGAGGGCCTGCACCAGCGTGGATCTGTGGGGGGGGGGCGTCTGTTTTGGGGGACGCTGAGCGGATGGTCATCGACAGGGAGGTGCTCTTCTTCTGCACTCTGAGATAAAAAGATAAAAGATGAAATCAGAAAACACAATCTAAACAGTGGAGATGCGTTCAGGGGTAATCTGACAGGAGAGAACATCAGAGTAAACAGAGAGGAACAGGAAGGAGGCCAGAGGTAAACAACTGATAACAAACACAAACATTTAGAGGAGCAGAACACACTCAGAGAGAGAGAGAGAGAGAGAGAGGACGACTGGCAGAGAGAAGAGGCTGAGAGAGAGACTAGAGAGAGACTGAAGAGAGATGGAGAGAGGAGTGAGACCAGAGACGCGTCGGAGAAGGCAGACTGGAGTCCGAGAGCAGAGAGAGCTGACCAGAGAGAGGGGAGAGAGGAGAAGAGAGAGTAGAGAGAGAGAGAGCGAGAGAGAGAGAGAGAGGAGAGATGAGAGAGAGAGAGAGAGAGATGAGAGAGAGAGAGAGCTGAGAGAGGAGAGAGAGAGAGAGAGAGAGAGAGAGAGAGAGAGAGAGAGAGAGAGACAGAGACGAGGCTTCCTGCAGACGCACAGGAGAGACATTAGCCGCGTTCACACCGGAGTACTTTTCACCGTACTTTTCTCGTTTAGTTCCGTTAGTACCCCTTATGTCGCGTTCACACCAAAAAGAGCACTTCATCTCTGGAACTTTTACCCCCATGTTTAGTGCCTGCTGAGAGATGGTACTTTCCTGGGGGAAAAGTGCCCCAGTTCTGATTGGCTGGGTGAATTGCAAACCACGCCCCGTACAACTCTGAAATGTTTTGTAGAGCCGCCATTTTATTATCCTGGCATTAGCATTATTAGCATTAGCATTCGCCCAGCGCACAAACGCAGAGAGACTAACTTATGGCAACACAAAATAAAACATGGGAGCGGTGGAGATGAGGAGGTGTCGGCGTTCTGGCGATTTACTCTGAAGGCTTCAGTAGAAGCTGCTGGGAGTCCCAGCAGCTTCTACTGAAGCCTTCCCCAACTCCGGGGACTTCCGGCCGGGGACTCCGGGTGGCAGTATACGCCGTGAAGTGGTTTGCGGCCTGCCAGTAAACCCAAAGCAGAAGAAGACGAAGTGACGTCAGCGGCTCATTTGCGTAATCCTGCCTCAGGGAAAAGTACTCCGGTGTGAACGCGATCTGTACTAAATGCCCTGGGGTAATACGTGCCGGGGCACTGAGTGCCGGCACTAAATACGGCAAAGTACTTGGTGTGAACGCGCCTATTTAGAAGATGCATCTTGTGTGAGAGTTTTTCAGTCTGTGGTTTTATTGTCTCGTGTTTTTTGTCCTATCAGTTTTGTGTAAATGTATTTATGCTGTAAGTGGTAACCTCTGTTGTTTTTAAATGTGCTATATCAATAAAGTTGGATTGGATTGGATCGGGAAAATAAATAAGTCGTTTTTTTATCAATTAAGAGAGTTCTGTCCTGCAAAGTAGCGTATTTTTGTCAATTAAGGAAAGTCTATGTAACTACTATAACTAGTGTTTCTATAGAGGCCCTGTGTTTACCAAGAGAAGTAAAGAAAGTCTATGTAAAGTTCCTGAAACTCATTCCTGTTCTCAGGTCACCCTCTCACCCAATTAGCAATTACAGATATCAATTGAGAGATCAATACATCTGAAAGACTATCTTTTTTTTGGGTCCGAATTCTGAGATAAAAAAATGTTCTCAGAAGACGCTTTTTCCCCCTTTTGGTCAGGCAGTAAAATAGTTAAAACATGGTACTGAGTCGACTGGACAGTTTAAAGGTCCCCTATGATTTAAAATCCTTTCCTCTTTAAAGTCTGTTTTATAGCTGAGTTAAAGTCAGACCCTGGTTATCGGGGGTCAAAGGTCACATGAGGTCATGCGGGGGTCACGTACTGAGGCATGTTTCCTGAGCGGGTCTTGGGCGCTCCTCCTTCTCCCTCGGAGTCTGTGGACGACGCTCCTGCAGGGACACGGAGCATTATAAATAAAGACATCAACTTTCTTTGGTTATTTACAAATGCACTAAATGATTATATCTTCTGTTCACTTTTGAACATTTTGTGTTTTGTTTTTTAAATATTGGCACATTTTCAGGGTAATTACATATAAAGGGAAGTTTATTACATTCAGTCGAGTTATTACATAAGCAAGGCTTTAAAAAACACCTCTGATTATGTAGTGTTACATAACCATGACATGTTGTGTTACATTTGAATATGTTATGCCTGTAATAATGATAATGACCTTTAATGTACACTTGGTCTTATTTAATAACATTTATCACATGCTGTGTAGTTATATATAGTGTACATTATTAATATAATACCTCCAGAGGTGGGAAGTAGTGGAGTACAAATACTTTGTTACTGTACTTAAGTACATGTTTCTGGTATCAGTACTTTACTCCACGACTTATTTTTCTGACCACTTTTTACTTTGACTTCTTACATTTTGAACCCAAATACCTGTACTTTCTACTTCTTACATGTTGAACACAAATACCTGTACTTTCTACTTCTTACATGTTGAACCCAAATACCTGTACTTTCTACTTCTTACATGTTGAACCCAAATACCTGTACTTTCTACTTCTCACATGTTGAACCCAAATACCTGTACTTTCTACTTCTTACATGTTGAACCCAAATACCTGTACTTTCTACTTCTTACATGTTGAACACAAATACCTGTACTTTCTACTTCTTACATGTTGAACCCAAATACCTGTACTTTCTACTTCTTACATGTTGAACCCAAATACCTGTACTTTCTACTTCTCACATGTTGAACCCAAATACCTGTACTTTCTACTTCTTACATGTTGAACACTAATACCTGTACTTTCTACTTCTTACATGTTGAACACAAATACCTGTACTTTCTACTTCTTACATGTTGAACACAAATACCTGTACTTTCTACTTCTTACATGTTGAACACAAATACCTGTACTTTCTACTTCTTACATGTTGAACACAAATACCTGTACTTTCTACTTCTTACATGTTGAACACAAATACCTGTACTTTCTACTTCTTACATGTTGAACACAAATACCTGTACTTTCTACTTCTTACATTTTGAAGAGTATTTTTAAACACGAGTATCTGTACTTCTACCTGAGTAAAGGATGTGTGTACTTGGTCTTATTTAATAACGTGAACATTAACACATGTTGTCTAGTTATAAGATAGTGATTAATATGAAATATACCCTCGATGTAGACCTCAGCGGATGTGTTGTCGGCCCCCGTGCTGTTTGAAGCGACGCAGGTGTATCGTCCCGTATCGTCCTCGAACGCCTCGTTGATCACCAGCGTCTGCAGGTCTTCATCGCTCAGGATCTGGATATCAGGCGAAGAGTGAAGCTCCCGACCCTCACAGAACCACCTGCAAGACCAAACCGCCCAATAGGTCTCATCAATCTGCTTTGTTGACCATCAAGTTCACACACGTGCCGGTCTCAGTCCAAACTGAATCTGTTCAATATTAAAAAACAGATGAGATGAACTTCATGGTCACAGAGGACAAACTCTTCCTCTGCGACACACAGCTGTGTTCTACTTGAGACAATGGAAGTGATGGATGAAGTAAATGTGCACTTCTATCACGTCACGTAAACAAAGTGCATCCTTATCAGCTGTTTACAGGAGATCAGACTGCAGACATAAACACTGCAGAGACACACTGCTCTCTATCTTACAACGTTTTAAACAGAACACACACATTTCATACGGGGATCTTTACTGGAAATGACTCACAATATAGTGAAATGCAGCTTCAAGGTGTTTTGTATTGATATGTTGGACCTGTTCTCTTCTAGGAAACTAAAGCATGAGATGAACTGCAAAGATCCGTTGGTTTGTAACTTGAAGCAGAGACAGAGAGTTATTTAAGAGTTTCACTTTGTTCATACAACTCCATTTAATTTGTTCTAATCCAATAGAAATAGCAAGGTACCGACATGTTTGAGTGTGTCAAGAAATGATGACTCTTTTCAGGAAATTATGACTTGATGTTTCCTCCAATTAAATCTGATCTGACAAGAGAGGACGAGACTTCAATAACACACCTCTGAAAACCTGATGGAGAACTGCCAATATAACTACTATCAATCACTACTGACACACACACACACACACACACACACACACACACACACACACACACACACACACACACACACACACACACACACACACACACACACACACACTCTGTCTGAGTTCATAATCTACCAACTGTCAGCACCCTAAGGCCCGGCGAGACGACGTGTTACGGGAAACTGACACACCTTTCCCTTCCAATCAGAGTGTGTGTGTGTGTGTGTGTGTGTGTGTGTGTGTGTGTGTGTGTGTGTGTGTGTGTGTGTGTGTGTGTGTGTGTGTGTGTGTGTGTGTGTGTGTGTGTGTGTGTGTGTGTGTGTCTGGGACCCTGGAGGGTTGAGAGTCTACAACACGACTAGATTCATTTGTCTGGTCTTTTTCAGGTCATCTCTTTGATGAAAGCAGAAACTCACACTCACCAGACACACACACACACACACACACACACACACACTCATACACACACACACACTCACTCACTCACTCACACACACACACACACACACACACACACACACACACACACACAACACACACACACACACACACACACACACACACACACACACACACACACACACAAATATGGTGCACATGTTGTAAGTCGGCAGTGGGCCGCCAGCTGATCCGTTGAACTCTCTAATAAAGCACTTGAATGGAACAAGCAAGGTATTTGGATTTCTTAAATGTACGCGAGTCAATACTCAAAGTCGCCTCCTAGACTAAGTGGTCTTTGAACATTCCTTTTTGCATAATCGGCCACTACAGTATGAAATAAAACCTTATGAGGCATGGATCTTAAGGTTTTGGGGGCCTTACGTGAACATTTGTTTGGTCATAGTCTGAGGAAGCCGTCATACAGGACTCCTCTAAAGGTTACCTAAGCTTACACAAGGACAAACAACAACAACACCTTATAAATAATCCCTAATGTTCCACCATGATGTGTTATTAAAGAGTCGCTGTGTGTATTTAATCCCTCTGTGCTTGTGAGGAATGCTGTGAGACCTGAACACAACACATTCAGTCTCTGAGGAGACATCAATAATCTCATTATACAGGAAACAGGAAGTGTTAGGGAAGCAGTCTGCTACCAGAGAAACTGAGGGTGAAACGAGTTGGCAGAAAGAATAAGAAACACCCACTTCCTCTTACAAAACACACGAGGAAGAAAACTTCATGAGGAGTAAAACCTGAGTAGAAATACAAAGTCCTGCATGCAAGAATCGACAGAATTGTTACCATGAAAATGTACTTAAAGTAAAGTAAATACTAATGTGTGCTACATCATTGTGACTTTAACGCTGCAGCTGATAAATGAGTAGCTTATTATAATAACTTATGACACAGCGTAACTGAATACTCGATTCTGATTGGTCAATTTGTACATTCCAGAGGTTGTTAAAGTTCGATAACAGACCGTTGCTAAGGAGAGCACACCGTTACTAAGGAAGAGATGCGCTGCTTTTGTCAAGGGTGTAATGAGTAATAAAGTTTTCCCTTGTTTTGAATATGTCTGTTATCAACATGTTCGGAGTGTGAAGCTAAAAAAAAACATTTGTTAAAATATATTTGTGAGAAAATCCCCCCTGATTGGTCAAGGCCTTCAAGAGGAGGGATTTGGTTTTGGTCGAAAGAAACGTATTTGCATTTGTTCAGCAGAGTTTGTCACTGAGTTTCTTTGTGTTATAAAGTGTTCTTAGGTCAGTGTAAGTGCATCTGTTCCTTTGAATTGATCTCATATGAAAAATGTCACAAGGTCAAGAAAACAGGTCAGGAAAATACATTTGTTTGACTGTTTGAGCGCGGCGGCCTGGATGTTAACGTCCTGAGATGTTTGTCTTTCTTTGGTTCAGTTTCTATGTTGGGAGCGCAGGAGTCAGGCAGAGTGCAGCAGGCTTTCTTTCTCCATAATTACAAACTACAAGAGGAAAGCTGGAACTATCCAAACTCTTTAAGAACGGCTTTCATTCTGATCCAGAATCACACAAATCTCCTCATTCCTGCTGACATGGAGAGAATATCCAGTTTCCTCCCTCCCACGCACGCTGACATGAAATGACTGCAACTCTGAGTGATTGCTGAAAAATATTTATCCCCACCACAACTCCCATTATAACAGGAACTTCCCATCACCACTGAACGCACCATTTACCTGCAGAGCAAAGCATCCCATCATCAAACTGGAGAAAAGTGTAAACAATACCGTCTCTAACACACACACACATATTAACCAAGATGTTGGCTAGCGCTCCAACACATTGTACGTGATAGGCTGAGGGGCGGGACATCTCTAAGCTGGTGGACCAATCACAACAGAGCCGCTAAATAGAGATACTGATATACACCTGAACATCAGCAGGAGAGGACTCTTTAAAGTAGAGACGCTACATACTGATATACACCTGAACATCAGCAGGAGAGGACTCTTTAAAGTAGAGACACTACATACTGATATACACCTGAACATCAGCAGGAGAGGACTCTTTAAAGTAGAGACTACATACTGATATACACCTGAACATCAGCAGGAGAGGACTCTTTAAAGTAGAGACACTACATACTGATATACACCTGAACATCAGCAGGAGAGAACTCTTTAAAGTAGAGACACTACATACTGATATACACCTGAACATCAGCAGGAGAGAACTCTTTAAAGAGAGACTACATACTGATATACACCTGAACATCAGCAGGAGAGGACTCTTTAAAGTAGAGACACTACATACTGATATACACCTGAACATCAGCAGGAGAGGACTCTTTAAAGTAGAGACACTACATACTGATATACACCTGAACATCAGCAGGAGAGGACTCTTTAAAGTAGAGACACTACATACTGATATACACCTTAACACCAGCAGGAGAGGACTCTTTAAAGTAGAGACACTACATACTGATATACCCCTGAACATCAGCAGGAGAGGACTCTTTAAAGTAGAGACACTACATACTGATATACATCTGAACATCAGGCAGGGAGGACTCTTTAAAGTAGAGACCACTACATACTGATATACACCTGAACATCAGCAGGGAGAGAACTCTTTAAAGTAGAGACACTACATACTGATATACACCTGAACATCAGCAGGAGAGGACTCTTTAAAGTAGAGACTACATACTGATATACACCTGAACATCAGCAGGAGAGGACTCTTTAAAGTAGAGACTACATACTGATATACACCTAACATCAGCAGGAGAGACTCTTTAAAGTAGAGACACTACATACTGATATACACCTTAACACCAGCAGGAGAGGACGCTTTAAAGTAGAGACACTACATACTGATATACACCTGAAACATCAGCAGGAGAGGACTCTTTAAAGTAGAGGACACTACATACTGATATCACCTGAAAATCAGCAGGAGAGGACTCTTTAAAGTAGAGACACTACATACTGATATACACCTGAACATCAAGCATGAGGAGGACTCTTTAAAGTAGAGACACTACATACTGATATACACCTGCCAATCAGCAGGAGGGAGAGGGGACTCTTTAAAGTAGAGACACTACATACTGATATACACCTGAACATCAGCAGGAGAGGACTCTTTAAAGTAAGACACTACATACTGATATACACCTGAACATCAGCAGGAGAGGACTCTTTAAAGTAGAGACACTACATACTGATATACACCTGAACATCAGCAGGAGAGGACTCTTTAAAGTAGAGACACTACATACTGATATACACCTGAAACATCAGCAGGAGAGGACTCTTTAAAGTAGAGACACTACATACTGATATACACCTGAACATCAGCAGGAGAGGACTCTTTAAAGTAGAGACACTACATACTGATATACACCTGACATCAGCAGGAGAGGACTTTTAACTCATAGAGATTTCAAGAGGAGAGAACTCTTTAAAGTAGAGACTACATACTGATATACACCTGAACATCAGCAGGAGAGGACTCTTTAAAGTAGAGACACATACTGATATCACCTGAACATCAGCAGGAGAGGGACTCTTTAAAGTAGAGACACTACATGATATACACCTGAACATCAGCAGGAGAGGACTCTTTAAAGTAGAGACACTACATACTGATATACACCTGAACATCAGCAGGAGAGGACTCTTTAAAGTAGAGACACTACATACTGATATACACCTGAACATCAGCAGGAGAGGACTCTTTAAAGTAGAGACACTACATACTGATATACACCTGAACATCAGCAGGAGAGGACTCTTTAAAGTAGAGACACTACATACTGATATACACCTGAACATCAGCAGGAGAGGACTCTTTAAAG